TATTAATCGTTTTTAAATAAAGCCAACTTCACATGGTTTACTTCATTTTTCTCCAGGTATTCCAGCTTTTGCACACCATCATCTCTCATGATAAAGAGGCAGAGGTGCGAAGGGCGGCTGTACTGGTCGTAACACTGCTCCTGCAGGGGCTTGGCCAGGATGCATTCTCAGTAAGTGTTTGATATATTTTTTTTATTATTGTTTTAATTGTTCTTGTTCTTGTTATTTGTAGTTGTGAGTTTCTTATTGTAAGACAGACTTGTTTCTGGCATCTAGTTAGTCTGAACAGATTTTTTTCTTTCTTTGTTTTCCTTCCATTTTTTGTGAATTAAATTTATTAGATCTGCTTAAATTATTGATTCTTCGTGCTACATTATGAAATAGATTACAGCATTAGTAGTAGAAGAAGTGTCAGTATTCCCTCATGTTATTGGGAATGTATTGTGATTTCTCCTACATAGAGGATTTGAATAGAATTTTAACTATATGCAACTGGGAATGGCATGTGGGTACATGTCATGCCCACTGTACTTAATTTAGTAATTGATTTTACACATAGATGGCTCCACAAATACTCCGTTACCATTAAGCCAATTATGAGAACTACCAGTCTCACCTGTTAACCATTTTCTTTGATTTTCGATAATATTTTCTGGTGTTGGATATTGCTGGTATTAATGTCAATAACACTATAGCAGTTATGATGTTTTTGATAAAAGTAACAGTATCAATATAGCAGTAGTTAAAACAAACAAACATTTTTCCCACAAATTTAAGGAAAGGTGAAATCAGGTCTACTAATTGACTCCTTGCAGAGCCATCTATGACTAGAGAATTTAACAAAACAATACTACAGTGAACAGAACATTTTCCCAAGGGCATGAAGTATGTTTTATTTTGTCCAAGAAGGGGGACTTTTAATGAAATGTTATGGTAGCATTTACTAAGTGGTATGACATGCTTTGAAATAAGCCTGTTTGATAATATGTAAAGGAAGCTGTATGAAAATAATTTTATGATCTTATTTTTTATTTTTAATGCTTAAAATGGATAAAACTAACACTCCATGAAGGACCTTGGACAGTGTCACAAAAAATGGAAATCTGTTGATTATTTTACATATACTATCTTCTCATATGTCTCCACAGGTGCTGAAGGATGTAATACGGGATTTATATCGAGCCCTGCGACTAGTATATACTACAGATCCAGACGATGTTGTTAGACTCCATGCACAGTTAGCAATGGAAGAAATTGACACCATAACAAGGGCTTTCCTTCTGCCGAAACTCAGTCTCTCCAAGAAAATTTATGTGACAGAAATGCCACCAAATCCATTCTAGAATTTACTTGATTTTTTCTGTAAAAAAAATAAATACTATATTTCTTTTTCTGTTTTATTAAAATAATCCTATAAATTAAGAAGACACATATCAGTGTTCTCTTAAGTGTCTACAATTTTTTCTTATGAGGTATATCTTTATATTAGTTAAATGACCTCAACAACAACATTGCTTTGCTATTCTTTAATAAGGAAAATGACGTAAAGTTTTGTACATATTTCTCACATGTATTTATACTTTAATTACAAATATCTACAAAGTCATAATAAACAAATACCAGAAGAGGCAACAATAATAATGTTCAATAAAGTTACATAGATTCAAAGCAGGTACTTTTTAGAACTGTAAAACTGTTCTTTATTTTTAAATAACTGATGCCCAGAGGTTAGGGGTGTGGGATAGGGCATCTCATGGCAAAAATCACACAATATCATACAGGTCTTTATTAATATCTCTACCTTTTATGATACACAAAACCTGTATAGTGCTAGCCTACCCTTACCCCCAGAGGGAAGGAATTCCACAGCAAACCACTCCTTAATCCCTAGAGCTATAATGGTAACAAAAATATCAACCTGTTCTTTTTTTATTTTTTTTTTCCTTTTATTTTTTTACAATTTGTCAGGCCATAAAAAAGAATTATGAAGTATAACTTTGGGAAGAACTACTGTGTGTGCATAGTAACATTTATTCTCTTTTTCTGAATGTCCTGTGGGACCTGGTGAATTGCCCAGCATTTGGGAAAGAACAGTAACAGCTTCCTCAATGAAATGACTAAGACTTCCACTGGGTTGTCGAGCTAATGATGCAAAACTCGGATGTAAAAAATATGAAAAATAAATAAATACATAAAAAGGCATGTCTCTCAATTCTGATAAATACCAAAGACTGGGACACCGCACTTTTGCAACAGCAGACGAAGAAAGAAGCCCAAAAATGTGAAGCGTAAATGCAGCTATTTCTCTCACTTTAAAAACATATCCTAAGGCTATATAAAACTTTATTGTTTTTTTTCTTTTCTTTTCTTTTCTATATTAGAGGGGGAGGGAAGCTGTAAAGTAGGATCAAGGTTTTGGATTTGAGTTATGGGATAGTCTGTGAATGGCTTATGAGTAAATTGAGCTTGACTGAATTATGAAAGAAAATTGGGGATGGAGAAAAAACATAGAGGGAAGATACATTTATATATTTTTGGGAGGAAAGGAACGGAAATCAAATATCAAGGATAACATAAATAGACTACAGAATAATTGGGGGTGTGAATTAATATGTAGGAAGGGTAAGTAGGTGAAAGGAAATAATACATACATTCCAACATATATATAAAGTCTTTGGAAATGCTATAAAAATAAAATTGGAACCTTTAGAAGGCACATGGAAGACTCTTTAAACAAGAGTTTGTAATTAGAAGTGTTCAGGAAAAAATAAAATAAAATAAAAATAAAAGAAATATTAATAATAACAATTCCTTTCGTTGTTTATATACTACTGATATATAACTTAAGTACCAAAATTTGGATAAAGTGTATTATTGTTGTGCAAAGTGTTCTTTTTTGCTGCTATGATCCTGACTATATTCCTTTAAAATCACAAGAGCAACATATTACAATTTTGCATTTCCTTTTTTTTTTCAATAAAAGCAAATGCAACTTCTACAGAGTGAAGAAAAAGAAAGCAAAAAAGAAAAAACAAACTACTTTCAATTGTCACAAGTTTACTATGATATAAAATCTGTGTAACAGGGGGAGACCAACAAAGAAGGGGAACTACATATCACAACTTTTGGGCCAATCTTACTGAGCACGGCCGCATGCTTGTACTTTACGCAAGTCCATCAATGGATGTAGAAGGGGAACATGGTTGGGAAGATCTAAGGAACATTATGATGAATTAGTAAAAAATAAATAATAAAAGATAAATAAAAATGAAAATCAAGAGGACCACTGAGTAACTGAATGGAGAAACCAAGTCCAGGCATAAGAACATTCAAATATGCATGTGCTCAAACACATCCATGCGCGCACACACACACTCACACTGAATGCAAATGAGTCTGTTCATGGTCCCACATCCACCACATTGGCCTGCTGGGAGGTAGACTGAGGTGGCAGTACGTGACGACAGGACATCCAGCTGCTACCCCAAACCCAGTCCAGTGTAGCCAGGCTTTGGTGCCAGATGACACTCAATGAAACATACAGGGGAAGAAGTGAAGTTGTGTGCTCCTTTGAGTCGGAAAAAGACAACAATAACAAATATCTTAATTCAACGTATGGCAGAAGACCATCTAACACTGTCCTATTTCTTCTTCGTCCACGCTTCTTTTTGTCTGGGGGTGCCCCGCGCTGCTTGTGTTGTGAGAGGCAGCGTGGGCAGTACCAGTTGACATCATCATTGGGGGGAACCTGAATACCCACACACACCTGTAAATTTAAGAGATTATTATACTTTATGTAAAATACATAATATATTAACAACTTCAAAGTTGCTTGATAAAACATTATTACAACTATGTGTAAAAAAAGAAGTGAGGGTATACATCTGCTTTATACTCCTTAAAGTGGGATTTTGTAAGTATACCCCCAAGTAAGAGAGATTAATGAATATAATGAAAATAGTGGAAAGAGAGAGATGTAGAATAAACTGCTATTGCCAAAAAAATAAAAATGAACATAATATAATAACAAAACTACTATACTTACCAGTGATACCAGTCATTACAGGTGTCACATCCAATCATGGGGGAACCATCGTCCTGCTTGCCACATGTTGGACAAATCCAAACTCATTCCCTTGGTCATCCTGTAGATGAATAGAAAAATAATTTTTCGGGTGATCTTGTCACACATGGACCTATGCGCACATGCACACACACACAAACACACAACACAAACACACACACAACACACACACACCACAACAAACCACCACACACACGCACACCACACGCAACGACGCGCACACACACACAACATACACACATAGAGGAGAGAGAAAAGAGAGGAGTGGAGAGGAGAGGAATGCCTCTTTTCAAACTCAGAGCTTTCAGAACCACACAGAAAGTTCAAGAGGAGGAGAAGAGAAGAAAAACAAAGAAAAAGGAATAAAACATACCACAAAATGCCCAATAGGCCCAACAGTCTCTGTGAGAAGTCCTGTGCTCTGCTCTTGCTTCTTGCTACTCTTGGGTGTGTCTATGGGAGGCGACATAATAGGGGGTGGCACGGCTGGCACCTGAGGATTGAGGGCCACGTCCAGGCTGCTGGCAGGCATGGAACTAGGGCCAGCTCCACTAGGCATGGCTGGTCCTGCTGACTTGGGCTCCTTTGCCTTCTTCTCCTTCTTTTCCTTCTTTTCCCGGACTTTTTTGCTTCCTGGAATTGGAGGCAAACCAGGTGAGTTAAAGTATTACTGATACAGATATTTCCTTTTTGATTATCATAACTGTGTTAGAACTGTAACTTTAATAAAACCAATAAAAATACCAAGTGAAAGACTCAACAGCTATCTCTAACAGGGAGGGGATCTACTTTAAACCAATCCTGAGGGGTTGGCGTAGACATAAATGCCATGCCCCTTGAGAGTGGCTTATTGTCTTTACACATAACGGCTCTACAAGAATTAAAAAAAAAAAAAAATCATGGTTGAGCATACCTG